CTAACACTGTGACTGCATATGTAGGCTCACGGAACTGCGTGATGGGTCCCATACCGTGAATGCCACATAATGCATCCTTAGAAGAGCTCATAACTATTTCATTGCTCGGTTTTCCTAGAACGGGCGAGGTAGAAAGCCTTCCAATGACATATGAGTTTCACTAAATAATATAAGTTACAGAATCGTGGTGGAGGGTCCGATATCGACGACCGAAGCAAAAAACATGAGCGGAGTCCGACATGACAATGGAGTAATTAAAATGAAATCTGTAGTTTGGCACTGTGTCTTAAGTTTTTAATGATGATGGAATGCATAGTCGATTTATACCTAAAACCGCTGAATGATAACAATAATTAAAAGTCAATTATTGGACTTTTTAAAATAGTACTCAAAAAAGGCTTGTACTGCAAGTAATCAGCATGATTTCAAATGAATGCCTTTTGAACGATTTCTCAGTTTTCAAAAGAAATTAAGTTTTTGTTGCCAAATGTTGTCATTTCGGTGTTGATTACAAAAATATGGCTCAAGCCACTGGCCTAACTATAGGGTGGCGTGGCTGGCAAAATGCCACAGGCTCCTGAACCGTAAGAGTACAACCGAAAAGGCAGCAATTTTTTTTAAATTTTATACAGATTTGCGCTAATTTCTTAAATCATTTTGAAGAATAGACTTACGGCTAGTAGTGGGGCGTGCAATGTGTAATTGATTACGATGAAAAATCTACGATTTTTAGTGATGGTCTCAGTATGTAACAGGCCCCAGATGGCAAAGTTACACCACTGGTACGAATAATCATCACCCAGAACTAATCAATGCTATGTGATTATTGTTAAATTGCTTTTGTATATTATATTCATTAATAATATACATAGAATCGTTAAAGATTAATTGATTAGTAAAATAAAATCAACCGAGTACTGTTTATTCTACAACTCTATTTTATCATTTATATTAATGCAGAATGCGTTCAATGTGATTGTTGGAACTCTTGCATTCCATAATTATAGAGAAATCCCTCCGGAGCAAACTTATTGATATTCTATGTGATTATGATAAATTATGAGTCATTTACCATGAGCAGCGCAGCCTCTAATCATTGATAAAAAAGAGCCCGTTGAAACGGCGGCAGTATATATCAGCACAAATGAACAACTATCGCTACATTTATCACAGTATCTTACGGGGTTCCGCATAAAACTAGGATTTAGATCAAATTTTGAATTTACTAACAACCATCACTGTAAAATTGTATCAAAATTTTCAGGATTTCTTTATGTTTAGTTCTATATAGTTTAGGTCCAAACAATTTGGACCAATCTGTTTGTCTCGATTGGTCATCCAGCACTATATTACTCAACCGCGGTCGGCAGAAATCAAAGAGAGGCCAGGCGTTTGCTCTTCCACCACAAAAAGAATTATAAACTATGGCCATGAACTCTAATCGATAATAAGTCATTATAAAACAGTAATATTGAGACATTTGTGAAGTTGATCAAATAAATAAAATGTTACCATGTAACACGAAGCATTCAATAATAAATTAATTGTTTATGAACGTAATATGGTATACATTATGATCACTATTATTAATGTAGGCTTTTAAATCTCTTTTATCATGACCATCTATCACCCATAAAGTTTTTGATTAATAGCATGCGAAAACTACGAGGAAATCATCAGGTTTAATATTTTAAGCAAGCAATTCCTGAGGTCTACTTTCGTCTACGAGAAGAGTATATCTTTTTCGGTGTAGATTGATTTTGCATATTAACATTTCGGTGTGCACACTCAAAAAATTGTTGAATCAAATAGTAACCGAATGCGCCTTCCGATATCTAATTGTACAGTCGGTATTCCGTCAAAGCATTTCAGCTGTTATCTGTATAAATAAATAGTATACAAATAACACATCAACAACGCTGGTTACATATCGCCGCAAAACTTCAAATACAATAATATTATCAGCAATAGTATGTTTACGCAGAAAAAGATCTTCTTCGAAAAGATTTCCAGCGCAAACATTGTTTAGTGTTCCATAAGCATCATACGAGATGACGGATGTAAACAGTGCAAAATTCACGTACCTACACAAATCATGATTCTGCATGTAATTCTGTATTTTTTTTATTATTACTGCTTGTTGGTTTTTAATTTTTTATCGCAAATTATGAAAATCAACCCATAGGGGCACTAAGAGTACAGAAATAACTTAGAACATTCACGTTAGTCACTGAATTAAGAATGAAAAACCTTGTGACAAATTATATTTTGACACACTTTATTTTATAAAAATATATTTAATTTATTCATAGGACAATACCATTTTAAGAGGCGAAAAAGATAAAAAAAATGTTCAGAAAGCATATTTACATACGACAATTATTCAAGTTTTGAATAAGTCAATTGTAGAGATTTCTTTATTATCTCAAACAACTTAAGTAGGTCGAATTTCGTAATCATACTTATATTACTCACATTTATGAAAAACAGCTTTTTAATGATTATAAAAAAAATAGTTTCAAAATAAATCATCATTGATCGTAAATGATGCATAAGATTTGACCTCTTTGCGATCATATTTCATTCATCTCGAAATAGTTTGATAAGAAGCCTAAAATTAAACATTTTGCAGGTCACGGATGACCCAAATTTACTTAAACTTTATTTGATAATAGCTGAATTTTAAATTCGAGAAATAAATGAAATAGTTTGATCTTTTTGGATGTATAAATTTTTCGGTAGTTACTAAAGGTTGATTTTTATTTACGAGTCTCATTACAATTTTATTTGTCCTTATTTGAGAAGTTGTAAGGTAAATAACAACTAATCTCTTAGAGTAATGATTGTTTAATAATACTAAATAGTCATCAGTGAAAACATAAGTTTGAAAGGAATTTCAATTAGGTAGAGATTACCGAGTACTTGTTTATCGGCTGCAAAATTCAGTTTTTGTTCAACAAAACCGTAAGAATAAGTTTTTATTCAAGTCAAAGTCAAATGTGCGAGGAGAGATATGTCAGTAAAAAAAAACATTTTTTAAAAAACGCTCTTGCATAGAGTATAAACGATAAAATGTTTAAATATTTATGAACTTTTTACTTGGTAAGTTGCGAAAAATATATGTTTCTGGGCAAATCTGCCAGGCTAAAAAATATTCTACATCTATCAAACGCGTTTGATAAATATCTTTCTATTTTTGAAACTTCATAAACTCGAACTTGAAATATAACAAAACTTTCATCATAATTTGAAGTTGCACAAAATAGTTGGAATCGTTTTCATTTTTATCAATATACGTTTCAACGTTGTATGTATATTGTTTATGTTCATAATGTAATATGTACTTTTCATAAAATTGAATTGAAAGAAACATAAACTAGACCAACTCTATGGTATATTGATTCTTTACGAACGAACATAAACTTAACGATATATATTCCAATGATACTATGCATGGCACGCGCAGGTTTTTTATTGTTTACCCATATGGTACACACGAAGCAATTAACTGTCCCGCATGGGTATTGTTACCTTTGTTTGAACAATTTACCGCACCGCTCACAAACATGCGTCGAGTCTACGAATTTCAAGATTTTGTATTGTTGTCTAATTTACATTTATAGGCGTGTTAGGTTATTTGCAAACAATAAATACGCCATAATTATCTAATTAAAATAATGAAAATGATATACAAACAAATGCACCGAAAACACTACAAGTATAGAGAAATTTACTTGAGAATAACTTAACTGACTTACGATAACCTAAAAGATAACTATATGAGAATACTGACATGTTCTAAACAAATGTATACAGTCAATACCTTGTAAGAGATGTAATGTTATTTTCTGTCGAGGTGTGCGATAATACGGTTGACCCTGGAGAGCGCGGCATAGTAATTTTTTTTAGTTGCGCAGAGTCCATCTGTGGACGTCCGTCCTGTTCTCTCTTCTGCTTCGACCGAGTCGATCGTTTGATCTTAGCTTCGTGCCGCCGCGCCGCCGCTCATACTGCTTTTCAAATCGAGAACAAAACAGTAAAAATCGTAAACCCTCGCCTGAATAAACCTGAAAGACAGATATAATCGTTGGCACTGATTATTATAGTTCTATTATTCATATTCATATTTAGCTTCTAAAACGATCTAAATTTTGTTCATATCTCAATTTAAAGAATTTAACCACTTTACGGTCGGGTTTTTTTTCGTGAACAATATTTGAATCTCGAAGTTTTGATTAGAATGGGAATTTATGATCTATTTTAAATTTAGACTTTTATATAAAACAAATAGTAGCTTTATTATACAACACGTTTTATTATTGATTAATAATTCTACTAAGTCAATATTTTCAATAAAATAAATAAATCGTATGGTAAGTAATAGTAATAAAAGAAAGAAGATTCGGGACAAAAAGTGCCAAAAATGGTCATTCAGTTTGTAAGAGAACGGAGCGTCCGATTTGAATAAAAACACGCATTACTTGTATTGACAAAATGAAGAACTGATTAAATTTTTTGAAAGACAGGTCAAGCGGTTACGGAGATCCAATGAAAAAAGAAATAATTATTAATTAGTCATATTTAGATATTTTATGGAGATTTTATTAATAAATACAAATTTTGTTTACACTTCTATGGGTTCCGTACCATGATTTATGATTTAGACGGCATCGGGGCGCTTCGCATTTCGATTGTCTATAAAACATCGATTGCTTTGAAAAAAAAATCTAAATTTTCAAAAAAATAAAATACAAAAAAAACAAATTTTCATTGGATCAAAAGTGCAATTTTGTCAAGAATTTCAAAATTCTCAAAAATCTTTTTTTTTGCAAGGTTCTCAAAACAGTTTAGAGCTTTTAAAAATTTTAAATTACGGTTACGGAAATTTTCAGCAATTTGCCTTAAGGCACAATGCCCACCTTTATTACCACTAGTTTATAATTATGTTATTGATAACAGCAAAAAATCCGAAATATTATTAAAATGTCTTTATTTTTCAGTTCTGTCCGGTGACTGTGGTGCAACGGACACCGAGGAGCTGATATGCCACCGAGCTCCATCCGCCTGCAGTGCGCCACCCGACTTACTGCCACGCAATGAGGCCCTGACGCTCGCCGACAACGCGGCTTATGGCTCGGTGGCGTCACAAAAACGCGCCGAGCGGGAGCGGGAGCGGGAGCGGTGCGAAAGTCGGCTCAAACCGGCACAACCATCACCCTTAATTCAACATCAACAGAATACGACAACACCTTCTGAACGGCCCCCACATCATATGACAAATAATGCGACAAATGTTCATAGCAGTAATAATAATAATAGCAGAGTGCATTTCGAGGTAAGCGTACACAAATTTTTTAATTAACTTCCCGTAGGGTAAGTTATAGTATTCGCGAAAAAATCGAAAAGGAAAATTTTTATATATCGTTACGTTTTAGGGATTTCTGAACATTTTGGTATACCTTAGAGAGAAATGGATGTATGTGTGTGTATGTGTGTGCGGATACAAATTTTTGTCGACGATTTCGGGAACACGGTTCAACCGATTTCAATTATTCAAAAAACATTCGGTTGCTGTTGATAAGGAGACGTGCTGATTAGTTTTTGGCATAGGCAGGTATAGCCGTTTCGAAGATACGGTGCAAAAAGTGCCACAAACGGTAACTCAGTTTTTAAGAGAACGGAGCCTCCGATTTTAATAATTCAGAAAACATTTTACTTGTATTGACAAGATGAAGAACTAATTAAATTTCCATGAAGACAGGCTAGGTTTCGGAGATCCAGTGAAAAAAGTAAAAAAAAAAATGCCATTTGGCGGTCAAAAATGATCATTAGACATATGCACATCAAATTATCAGATATTTTATAGAGATTTTAACATTCAGTATCAATTTTGTTTACATTTCTATGCGGTTCGTACCAATGCTTATCCGTTAGACGTCGACGCGGCGCTTACGCGCTTCTATATTTCGTATCTATGCAGTTAAAGCAATACGATTGCTTTGAAAAAGAGTTCAGAATTTCCAAAATATTTCAAAATAAAGAAAACATTTTTTTAAAAAAAGTATTTTTTTTCTAGTAAATTTTTGTCAAAAATTCTATATTTCGTATCTATGCAGAGCAATACGATTGCTTTGAAAAAGAATTCAGAATTTCCAAAATATTTCAAAATAAAGAAAATTTTTTTTCAAAAAGTATTTTTTTCTAGTAAATTTTTGTCAAAAATTTATAGTTTCTCAAAAATCTATTTTTTTCAAAAATGTTAATCTTTAAAAAATTTTTTTTTTGATACGGGAAGTTCCAGCAATATGCTTTAAGGCACGATGCCATGCGCCCCACTAGTTGTGCGCGTTTTTTTTTTATATATCTGAATATAAGTTGAATCACAATATTCTTCTTGATTAAAAGATATATGGTTTGCATGAAAGTTTTGTTATTACTTTATAAATTTCAAATTAAATTTTGAACAGAATGTTATATTGTGTAACATTATTTGTCTTCTATAATTTGCAAAACTAAGCATTAACTTTATTATAGGAATTCACATGTGATGTATCAATAGAGGGCGGTGAGGATGGCTCCGGTGTTAATATTAGCCAACCACTTCAATTTTCTTTCACTTTATATGACCTGGATGGACATGGACGAATAACCAAAGATGTAAGCATTTATAAATAAAATGCGTCATTTTTTTAAATATGACATACTGAAAATCAAAACTATATATGATTAATATTAATAACCTTATATTTTTTCTTGCAATGAAAATAATTGCAAACAAAATAGTGATAAATCATCTTATAGATACAATTTTTAAATCTTACGGATATTTTTACTTTACCTTATTTTTACTTTTTCACTTTACTTCACTTTAATCTTATAGATTGAAAAAAAAAATTAAAAAATAAAATTTTATACAAGTAGATCACAAATAATTGATATTACCAAAGCCTCGTATAGAAAATACTTTCATCGTTGGGACAAATATATTAACCTTAAAGAAGATTATATTGAAAAATAAATTGCCACTTCCACGTTGCAATGTTTTTCATTTGTAGGCTAAGTTCTTGTTTATTATCCACATATGGAACAGAAAAATATCAATAATTCTTTATTTGCTTATGAAAATTACTTATAACATTTTTAATAATATTTAAATTCAATATGAATAAATGTCCTACCAGCAAAAAGTTTGATCCGATTTATTTATTACATCTTTTTTTATTATTTACAGGATATTGCAGGAATAGTTTCAACAATATATGAATCTGTAGGAAAATCAGTTATAGTACCTCATTATGGTAGCAAGACAATTAAAGTACGATTGACAGTAGCCCCTGAACAAAAATCACCAACAACCACCAAACTTGTAAATAACTCAACTCCAAATAGGCCCGCGCCCAGGCGAGAACCTGCTTTTCACAGGCGGAAACCTAGGCGAAGAAAAACAGTTCCAACGGCTCCTATTCATAGTGAACCTGTTTCAGAAGAGGAACATTGTTCAGTTTTGTTTGATGATGAAGTGGCTAGTGATTCGGATGGACAAAAAGGTCAATCCAGAAGGGCTAGACTTTATACAAAACAACATGCAAAAAGGCCACCCTCGTCACAAGCCACAGAATGTACATTATTAACCGCTGGTAAACATGGACCAAGGGGAAGAAGTTTAAGTGCAGGCAGTGGACCAGAACAAAGAGGATATTGGCGCAGGTCAGGGTCTTTACAGAGGCGAGAACTATTAGAAATCATTCAAGCCAGCATGGAGAAGAACAACCTGTGTTTTCAAACCAATAGGTGAGATTTTTTTAAGTATTAGATTTACTAGCCATTTGAATATCACTATGAGCATTTGAATATGCCTGGTAGAAACCAATGCCAGTCAAAATGGTCTATAAGAAAACATGCTTATTCTGGTTTCAAGTTGAACAAAACTAATAACTGTAATTAAATAAACTTATAGATATTATCAAATAATAAAATTTAGCTTTATACTACAAGTTATCGGCAGTTTCCTCTTTTGTACATAAAATTTCTGCTAAAAAGTATTTTTAGATTTTAATTTTTATTTTAGAGGAATACTAGTTCTACCTTTCATGGTATGTGGTTCGAAATGTTTCATTTGATACATTTGCTTAGAGGGGTTGATGCATTTCGAGCTTTGATCTTTTATAAATACGAGCAGCAGCCAGAATTTTATGCCAAATTTATGATATTTATTTACTCAGAGATACTCTAGTTGCATTTTCCAAATATGCTAAAAAAATTTCTTTCGATACAAAATAAGTTAAACCAAGATACTTTTTTCGTTTTTAGCCTTCTTCTTACCCAAGAATATATTTATGAATAATTTCTGTATCCACATGAATGTTACTTCTTACCTTTATTACTTTTCAAGAAGAATAAATAATTACACTTTGAATCTGAATTCAAATTGAAGATCACTTCGAATAAAATTTTAGTTGGTGTGTTGAATGAAGCTCGAAACAACTGTTCTGTTTGTAGATATCTAGTAATAATGCCGCAATTTGCTTTTCTAATAAAGAATATAAAGATATCAAAGAATAAAGAATAAACAATAAACAATAAATAATAAATAATATAGATTGTCGCCGATAAACGCATGCGAACTGTCTATTGTTATGTCAATCCTTTCATCAATTCTCAATAGAAACTTGCACCAGTTTTGACTGATACTGGTATAAATGATAGTAGCCAAATATATATTTGTTACTGTTATATACGTATAATCGGAATTTTAAATTGAAAATGCACAACCGGCCATTTTGACTGAGTACTAAATATACTGACAAATCTAGACTTTCCAAACAACCTTCTAGACATATCTGCCATATTGTTATAGATTTTTTTCATAAAGAGTAGTTAATAAATCATTCATAATTTAAATTTAAAACTAATATTTAATTTTAAACTTTAAAACTATTCAAATATTTTGTGTATTATTATTATTATCAAATCTATGAAATATCTTCCTGTTTATTTAACCTTTTTTTCATGTTACAGAAAACCAAATAATGAAGATCGCTCCAATGCCAAACGTCATAGAAATCGGGCACACACTGTATCTAAAACCGTGGAGCCTCAAGATAGCAAATTTTGCAGATATGACAGCTTTCTACATTCTGTAATTTGTTCTCAGCAGCACACACACCAGCATAATATTGCCTCACAAATCAAACCAAAGAATGGAACACCTCAAACAACTCCTCAAAGGTCAAGATCACATGAACTAGGTCAAACAAATCCTGCTATTCGATACACTCTTCTAGAACCATCCGATGTCAGTTATTGCAAAATGGATTTGAGAAAAAATTTACAGAAAAAACATACTGCACATGTTTGTTCACCTCATCATTTAAAACACCAGAACAGAGAAAAGTATCATGCACGGGCCATGGCTCAAGTTGAGCGTTGGTTGGAAAATGATAATGCTACAAGACTAGCTTCCAAGCAGAAAAAAATGCAGCAGGCTTGTGTAGATCCAATTGATTCTCAAGAATGTGAAGGATTATTAAAGACAACTGATAAAATAAATGACTCACTAGAAGATAAGTCGTCCAGTCCTACAAACTCAACAATTCATCGTTATGTACATGAACACATACATCATCATTATCATCATTTTGAGGAAGAAGCCTCTGCCGCATGTTGAGGATAAAAAATTGTAGTTATGAACTTAGTACAAAAATATACACATTGTTTTTCCAAATACATAAACAAATATCTCACAATATATCAAATTTTAAAGCTGCTCACTAACTCACTTTTTATCTTGAATTGCTGTTATCATATCTCTCCATGATGTATCAATAGTAATTCGTAAATTGTATAATCAAATTAGGTCCTAGTCCCATAGTGCAGTTTATGATTCAGCAGCTTCTCATAAAAATTGTTTAACTGAATTATACTAATTAATTATTAATCAATAACTACAATCATTTTATGGATTATTGAATGCAAATATGAATAATACACCTGTAATCTAAATGCATTTATTTTATATAAAAGTAAAAGCTCTTCATCCGAATGTATTTTAAAATAATTGTGAGCTCTTCCATAATGAGATGTTGTACTAAGTATTTAAATTGTATACGAATTATTAATTTTAAAGAGAGAACAATATGATTAATTAAAGATTATTCAAAATATTATGTCCAGGTGTGATTAGATTACCATATAAGATGATTTGAAAGTCTATAATATGCATCGAAAGATATACTTATTTAATATTAAAAATAAATTGGTGTCTCAAACTCTAAAAGAAATCTCTGACTGAATGAAATACTCTGTAATTGTACTATTGTGGATGTATTATTTATAATGATTTAGCAGTACAAATGTCATATTAATAATATTCCCAACTTGTAATACTAATTCTATAGTTAAGTTATTTATTTTATATAGTTTTGTACTGGTTAGTGAAATTTTTTATATTATATAATATTAAGAAGCTCTTTGCTATATTTGCTTTTGCAAAACGATATATTATATAACGCCAACAGCTTTGATTAATAGACAATAGTTTTAGGTCACATATTAAATTGGCTTAAAAAGAGCCATTCAAACAATGTAAAAAACACTTTCGAATTATTTTACTTTATTTTATTCAGTGTTAGAAAGAATAAATAAATTAAAAATAAATACATATAAAAACGGAACATATATATAATTAAGTCTTATATTTGAGAATATTGTGTACAGATTCAAACAAGGAATCCAATGGTCATATAAAAGCAAATAGTTTTTTTTAACAATTTATTATTTATTGTAAAATTTCAGAACTATGTACGTTCTATCTTTTAATTAAAGAACATGATTTGAATTCGAAGATAAACAAACAAAACTAATGATAAAATTATAAAAGAGAGGAATATGAGAGGAAAATTTATAAATGAATGGTTTATATAACAAGATGGTAAAGTGAAAACTTGGTATTTTTGAATAAATTTGTTAAAAAGTTATAATTGAGCGAACAAAATTATTTTCCTGCATAATTGATTATGTACTAAACACTTTGCATATCACTAAAATCAACTTTCTACAATTTTTACTATTATTATTTTAGTTTTGTCTGTTTTTCTTCTATTCAAGATCATGTTTTAGACTAGATAGAATGTACATATTGCGAAAATGTTGACAATAATTAACAAATTATTAAAAGCTATTTGGTTTTTTATTACCGTTGGATTCCTTGTTCAAAGCACTATACAATATATATATTTTGTGTTTCATGTTTTTCTACTTGGTATTGAATCATGTTTTATTGCAATATTGTATTTGAAAGACGTTTAATATTTATATAAAAGAAATAAACATTTGTAAAAGAAATATATATATATATATATATATATATATATATATATAAATATATATAATTTATTTTTCCATAAGCTTAAATATTAAACTACTTTAAAATAATACTTTGAGCATCAAACACAAAATTACTGAAATATGTGCATGAATTTGAGTGGTTCTTATTCTCGATTTGCAATTTTAATGAAATAACTTTGTATATGAGTTCCCAACATAACTGACACGAAAGAATTCAAACTCGTATAGTGAATACCAAAAAAATTAATTCCAAAGCTTTGATATTTAAACGGACATAAAGATGTATTAATAATAATTTACATCTAAACGAAAAAGCCTATTTTGCATATAAATTTCAAAATGAAGCTGTTGCAATTTTCCACATTCTAGTTGATTTTGTACTTCAATATGTAAGGTTTTTCAAACATTCAGCCAGTTTTAGACTAGAATTGGATTGTAAAAATGGTGAATCTATTAAATGAAATAATGTAAAAAAAAACATTGTATATTTGAATATATTATCATTACGTTCTGAGTTAGTTGTTAAATTTATTTATATAATAATATAACATGTATAGTGTAGATATAAGATCATTATTGTATTTATTTATGAAGTAAGGATAAATTAAATCTTTTTTATAAATATACAGCATATTGTTGGAAATGATATGGTCTTTTTTGTTATTACAGGATAACTAATATTTTTATGATTTTATCACCTAACTTTATGTAAAATTATGAAGTTTGAAAATATATAGATAACATAATTTATATAAAGATGACTCACAATTGTCAGTATATATTTGTAGTCATATCATTGAATATTTTAAATCAAATAGTTTACAATCATTTTCAAAGAAAATCAAATATAAATCTTTTAATGGACGAGTTAGAAATATTAAATTTTAATAAGGAGCAAACCAGTAATCTAGATAAGCCTACAAGTACAATTATAATAACAGCACCAGTATTATTTAAAAAAAAATCAAAAAAATTGAAAATGTAGCAAATAATTTTAAAGACTGTTACGACAAGGAGTGAAGGTAAGATATAAAACAATAAAAATTGTAGTGAATGAATACAGTCATAGATAAATAAGTATAAATGAATACAGTATGATTTGAACAGCATAATGATTAAAATGTGAATATATAATTCAACTTGATTGATACCAAAAATATCACAAATTAAATCAAAGAATATCCAAGTTGGAAACTGAAAATTAAGGGTTTGATAAGGACAAGTGGCCAATGATCAATATAGTTGAAAGGTTTGGAATAAATTACAAGACAAGTTTAAAAACAAATTATAAGATTTCATATTTTTAATTATATTCAACATGCGTTATCAGATTTATATATTTAAGTTAAAGTAAATGTATTTACCCCTTCCACATCTCGATTAGTTGATCCAGCAAGTATTTTATTCAAGATATTGGATATAACTTCATTAACAAATTCAGAAAAGACTGTTAAAGAAATAATATATTCATAAAAATATATAATACGTCATATTTATTATAGCTGAAATAAAACCATTCCAAAACCGATTGTTATAGGTTATGTTGTTGCTAAATTTTGAATGAAATTTGTAAATAAAACAATTATTTCCATGATGTGTAATTATACCACTATCACATAAACTGTTAATTTTATAGTATTTTTTGAATTTACTGATAACAATATAGTTATCATACAACAAAATATATTTTTCAGAAAAAATAGGATTTGTTACATTTCACTTATGCAAAGAAAATAAGATCTCTGATCTGATTATGAGAGAAAAAAATCTCTCTTAATAAATGATAAATTTATTATATATGATTGTATACATCTTGGTGCAAATTTGATATGAGCATTAAAAATTAATAGCACAATATAAAAATGTTATTATTAGCTTTAAATTTTTATAATATTTAATATTGCAAATTGACTCTTATCACACGAGAAAATTCCAAAGTATAGAAATAACTAACTAACCTAGATTATTCTAATTATTCTAAATTCATCTATTTAATTCTACTTCACTCAGAAGAAAATATTGTTATTCTAGAAATAAAAATGCATTTTATAAACATATTATTTCTTTTTTCATTAAAAATTTACAAAACATTAATAATTTATGATATATATCTGATACTTTATAAAATAACTGTAATCTGTATTGTGTTTTAATGAAATGATGGATTTATTAAGAAAACAGTTTGAAACCTGTGAAATTATTATTATAAAATTAATAAAAAAAATCTTCAGATATTTTTTCAAATTATTATTATAAAATTAATAAAAAAAATCTTTAGATATGTTTTCAAACAACTAATATTAAATTAATCATATATAATATTGTGTATTACTAAGCAATGTTTCACATCAGTCAAACCTTTCAGGGAGAAAAATCATGCAGCTTCTAATACAAAAAAATTATAATTAAATAATTTTGTAATATAATACGTTATTGTTTTAGAATGGTAATTTCGCTCTTACCTATCAATGTGCACATAATTCGCTTTTGAGGAGTTATCGATGGCTCGAGTTTCTTTAATTACATAGTCGATTATTTCATTGTACTTATCGAGGGCACTGAAATTAAAATTTCAAAATTAAACACAACTTCAATTGCGCAATAAATGATTATATAATACTAAAACATCAAAAATCCTATTACTATCACTTGCTGATTATTTCTTCAATACAAACTTACATATTTATATAAACAATAAAATAGTTTCCACAATAACTAAGTTAATTTTCTTTGTGACTATGTATTTAATGAATCTAAATATTTATCTAGTCTATTGCTTTATCATCTTGGTTCACAACATGAAATCCTTCTAGTCACTCTCAACCACAAAGGAATCATATATTGAGTGGTATATTCAGCAATACATTTTCATGATATGTATTTGTAATTATTATTATCACAACTATGAAAAGTCTTTATAAAAATTATTATTTTTTTTGAAACATCTTACATACATCTTTCTCACTTCATTCCATTTTTGTATTGTAGATGGTAATAATTTTAAATTATTGATAATTAATTAATTAATTTTCAATGTTTGAGTAATTTTAGATAGTATATTAAATCTCACCTCAGTATAATTGGCGACAAGCTAATCAAAAATTTGAAACACGGCTTTATGTCAAAAAAGCTCTCCTCCTCGTCAGAAGCAGGCTGCTCATACCCTTTATTAAACTTCACTAGAAACTCTGGATTCAAATCATTTGACAACACGATTTCGAAGCCTATCTATCACAACAATATTAATAATTTTGTAGCAAAATATATATAAATAAATTAACAAATCAACAATAATAATTTGAATATGTAAAAAATATTAAAATTAACGTATCATCAACCTCTTTTACGTGGCCGGTTAGATTATTGTCTTCTAGAGCCTTCTGAAAAGCCATATTTTGAATTCGACGCCTGCACAGTTGCAAAAGCGACATTGGCCGATCTAAATTGAATTCAACACAGATTTGAACACAACATTTCAATTGTTATAATTGTATATTTTTGAATGAATA